GTAATTTCGGATCTGGGATACATGGAAATATGTCTAATAACAATTTCAGATCTTATTCAAATCCTCTGGATTATCAGTATATAAGGTCTCTAGAAAATGGTATCGGTCTGTACTTCTAATGCATTTACATTTTTCGATATAAAATTGTTGTTTGTGCATCATTACTTACTCAATAATGATCCTGTCAACAGTATTGAGCCCCCTAGTATTTTTTAGCTATACCGTATGTCCTAAAAGCTTTGGCACAAAATCATTTATCGGATTTTTTTTAATGAAAAAATTTATTACACTATCTAGGTATCATAAATTACAACTCAATACTTAACTAAACCGTACTATCGAATTATGTTGAGTGGCTCCTTCTGCTCTACCAGACGCATCTTTTAGGACACAGGTTACCCTAGAGAGATCAGAAACTTGAGAAAGCATGAAAAACAAATATTGCTGCGTTTTCCTAAATTTTAACGTGTCAAGTAAAGAATTATTGTCAACGTCCAAAAACTAACAAAATGCTGTCAAGTATCTTCGCCGCCACTGCATCGACTTAGATAAACGAGCAGCACATTACTTACTATGACAGCGCAGCACGTGCTCTTCAAAGTACATCCGACTAAAAGAAACACTAACTTCTCATCTAAACACTTTTTGCGTGTGGTTGATGTTTTCAGAACTAGGAACTATCACGTCCAAGCGAGCCATAATTCTAATCATGTTCAGCCTCTTTTTAACTACACCTAACGTAATAGAGATTACTGCTTTCCATAATTCCCCAAATAAAAACTTTCTATCTCGCCAGTTGGCCTAAATGCACAAACCCACCCGAATTCCAGGTATTCCCTAAAAAATGTCTCCAAGAAGAAAAATATGTAAATATTGTTTTACACAATGCTCGCAAAATTTTTATTGGGCTCATCGGAGTATTTTGCGCAGCAGGTAAAAAAGTCATGGTTGCCTTTATTGGGGCCGTTTAAAAAAGGCAGCGACCTTTTTATATGGATCTCTATGCAATAAAGTGCAAATTTTACAGTATTTGGACGTCACGCCGTAATTGCTCTCGCAAAAAACGGAGCTGCAAAGAATGGCTTTTGGGAGAAAGTGAGATTGCGAAAAGGGTTGTTTAGGCGGTTTTTAGTCACGGAATATTATGGTTATAAAAGGGTTGACTGCTTGTGAGAATATTGGTATTGTAAATTTGTTTTTGAAGTTAAATACGTTTGAAACGCGTGTCTGTGTGCAAGGATGGTGTAATTTATTATTAAGCTTCATTTACAAATAAATATCCTGAAGGTTACATGGCAATCGGAAATAAGTTTTGTGAAATTGTTGTCTCAGTCAAGATGTCACTTTATTTCTAGCTATAAACGGCTCTACTGTCGTTCCGGTTACCTTTCTCAAAACATAATAGAAGCATGAACAAAACATTGAACCTGAAAGGCGTGTATTCCGTATCTCTGTCGATATGGTACTTATGGGGAGCTTAAAAATGTTTGTTAATCTGATGTTTAAGCTGCCTGTAAAGGTAGTAGAACTGGAAAAACCTAGTCGATTCTCTGGAGACAAAGGAGCGGTCGTATCGGCCAGAAGTCGGCCCGGTTTGCCTGGCAGGCACATCGCGCGGCGGCATCGTGAAGGAGAGTCTCAGGAGCAATAGAAAAGAGCTAGATCGCCGACGAACCGCTGGTGCGAAAGGGTTCCGAGTCTGTCCGTTAAAGAAGTGTCACCGATCAGTCGGAGTGCCCTCCTCTGAATAGCACCGAGCGTGGATAATGTAGTCGGGGCAGCAGCACCCCAAACATGTGAGCAGTAGTCAGAGCTAGGTCTTATCTAGGCCTTGTTCAGAGTGAGGAGGTCAATATACAACTTACGTAACTTAAAGAAGAAGTACATCCAGGTGTAAGTTTTTGCATAATTACAGTTATCTTAACTGATTATTACATCTTAGAGTTTGGACGGCAAAAATGGCAATTCGCATATAGACGTTATGAAAAATGGTACTAAAGCCTTCAACCACCCACACGTCGTGTTTTCAAATCCAGATCCTGTTAGGTGCAGAAAAAATTTAGCTGAAGTTATCTGGAGCCTTAATATTTTGCAAGAGATGCATTGTTTGCAGTATCATTCGGTCCTCTACTATTCAAGTTTATTGAAAGTACACAGATGATATGGAACTTCGTGCGAAGGTTCTAGATTATCCGAATGTTCGAACAAATGTGCAACCTGCTTGTATTGTAACATTACAACAGTCCCAATAATATACACAAGCTATTATCTAGAGTGGAATATTCTACGTATAAGAGCAATTTTGCGTTTCTTTGGATTATTCTAAGGGACAAATAACATATAAAAAACACAGTTATTCAAAAGTAAGTCTTCCATCATCCAGTACTAAAATTCTGCCTGAGTACCACTTGCCGCAAGTAACGGTACGCAAACGCTACCCCCTCCTGCTACCAGACCACAAACCGCTACCATAGTAGTAGAGTAAAATTAGATAGGGGAGACAAAAATGAAAGCACGTCTTTGAAAACAGAAAATAATAAAATAAAATCCTTAAAACTTTCAGTTTGGAGATTTTGTCACCTCTCAACACGGATAGAAAATTGAGAATCATGTGGGTTAGGGGGTGATCATTAATTACGTGGCGTATTTAGGATCACATGGAGGAGAGAAAGGGTGAAGCAAATATCTCATATTGTATCAAAATTTTATTCATTCTGGTCATTCGTTTCTTGTACATAACCATAACTCCAGACAGCAGCCCCGTAATTGCACCTGGTGTCCCCGAAGTCTCGATACCACGCCTTTACAGTCCATCTTTTTGCGGATCTCATAGTAGTCTTCATTATGTGTTTCCCTTTGAGCTGGTTATGGACGGTTATGACTCCGGTACAGACACCGAGCAACTTGACAGACCATCTTCGTTCATGATGAGTATGTCCATCTGGAATAGAACAAACTTATTAAAAAATATTTGCTGTACTTTGCTCGCGAAAATATCTGATAGATCACCCATAAATAGAATAAATATACATTTGAATTTAGTAATAAATTGTAACTTTTTGGTATTTCATTGTCCACAAGCAACTTTAAATTGTTAGTCTTAAATAAAAATGATGGAGCAAATTCTGTTTTTTAAGATAAATCCTGTCCGTTTGCACTAAAAATTACAATTGTTAGAAATTTCACAAAGGGGAGCAGGAGGTCAGAAAACAGTGGAAAACGCCTTCCGTGATAAGCTAAGTTTATGGTCCTTGAATTTCTTTGTGACGAAGGCAAAGTTTTGCACAGGTACACTCTTTTAACTTAAACTCAAGCTTTCGACGGTCTATGTCATCATCATCAGGAGCAAAAAACAAAATTTTGGAAAGTAGGCACAATAAGCAGTTGCGAAGACAATTTTAGAATGATATAATAAAGATTTCTACTAGCTTATAGTTTATTTCTCACTCCGAGGCAAACCCTCATTTATGGCTTATATAAATGGACTAAGTAAATGATTTTCGCATGTATGTTTACATAAGAATAGTTAAAGGTGATATATAGACCTACCTTAGTATACTAAGTGACATATAAATCCGAACACCCAGTTTAAATGGTTTTATTTTAATAAAATTTTGTATAAGTACTTAATGAAGCATAATAAGTAAATGGTAAAAATTTCAAAATGATTGCACTGCTTTAAAGCCCTTTGACCTTTAATAATGTGTGGATGCACCCTGATGTGCTACGCATTCTCCAACGCGCCTAGGCATGCTTCTGATCAGGTGGTCAATGTCCTCCTGTGGTATCTCATTCCAGGCAACCAACAACTTCTCTCGAAGTGCTTCTAGAGTCTGAGGAGGACGTTGCAAATTGAGCAATCTCCTACCCATCATATCCCACACGTGCTCAATTGGGGATAAGTCGGATCTTGGTGGCCATGGTAACAATGTGACATCATTATGTTGAAAGAAGTCTATTGTGACTCTTGCAACATGTGGTCGGGCATTATCTTGTTGGAAAGTTGGATCTGCCAGGGTGTCAAGATAGGGTAAAACATGCGGTTCTAGAACTTCGTGGATACAAGGCTGCGCGTTCATGATACCTCTAATGAAGATTAAAGGTGACCTGGAACCATAAGCTATAGCACCCCAAACCATAACTCCAACAGTATGATGAACATGTCTTTCAACAAAAAACTGTGGATTCCTCCTTTCACCACGTCGCCTTCTAACCCTGGCACGACCATCGTGCATGCCTAAACAAAATCGAGACTCGTCACTTAAGACAATACTGTTCCATTCCTGATCCCAGAGTGACCGTTGTCTGCACCACTCAAGGCGATTACGTCGGTGTAAGGGTTAGAAGGCGACGTGGTGAAAGGAGGAATACACAGTTTTTTGTTGAAAAACATGTTCATCACACTGTTGGTATTATGGTTTGGGGTGCTATAGCTTATGGTTCCAGGTCACCTTTAATCTTCATCAGAGGTAACATGAACGCGCAGCGTTATACCCACGAAGTTCTCTAACCCCATCTTTTACCCTATCTTGACACCCTGGCAGATCCAACTTTCCAACAAGATAATGCCCGACCACATGTTGCAAGGGTCACAATAGACTTCTTTCAACATAATGTTGTCACATTGTTACCATGGCCACCAAGATCTCCCGACTTATCCCCAATTGAGCACGTGTGGGATATGATGGGTAGGAGATTGCTCAATTTGCAACGTCCTCCTCAGACTCTAGAAGCACTTCGAGAGGAGTTGGTGGTTGCCTGGAATGAGATACCACAGGAGGACATTGACCACCTGATCAGAAGCATGCCTAGGCGCGTTGAAGAATGCGTAGCACATCAGGGTGCATCCACACATTATTGAAGGTCAACGGGCTTTAAAGCAGTGCAATCATTTTGAAATTTTTATCATTTACTTATTATGCTTCATTAAGTACTTATACAAAATTTTATTAAAATAAAACCATTTAAACTGGGTGTTCGGATTTATATGTCACTTAGTATATTTTCTGAGAATTTGTATGTATGCCTAGCTGTTTATCATGTTGCCACCCAATTTGACTGTACCATAAAGGACCCTTTTCGCAAATTCGCACTTTGGAAATGCCGTTCTCTGATTGGTCGATGCCCTAAGTACACTGGCCATTGTCCAGTCCCATAAATAGAAAAAATATTATCATTCTCCTATCAGTGCGATATTTACCATCGACTGTCGTCAACAGTGTTACAGTGACCTACAGTTTTTAGTACTTGTACAGTGAACAACCTTGTGGATTTTTTTTGCGGTTAAGACTGGGTTTATTTGGATACTTTGAGAAAATGGTAAGTAGATTCTTGTAGAACATCAATATTTTCCAAGATAAATATTAATTGCATAGAAATGAAAGAGAATGTTTGTTATTTGCATTGTTATGGACAAACAACAACTGATTTTAGACTATTGTCGCATGGTGCTGAAAAATTTAAATGCATCTGGATAGCAGATAATTCCAATTGTTTTACTGTTATCTGATATTTTCAGAGCGATTTATCTATATTGTAAAAGATACTTTAACCTTTTTTTGATGCTCTTCGTGATGGAAAGATTTGCAATAAAAATGTTGAATGTGTTTGAGTAGTGTGCCTTTGATAATGCACTGGATTTTGACTGTGTTTTGCCTGGAATTCTTCCAAGACTCCTCGAATTTTCGCACCTTGAATGGAATCCGATAATTGTAAATGGTTTAAGGACAATAATCGACAAAAAAATGTTTTTTACGATATAGCCGTGATCCGTATATTATCAAAATTTTAAAATCGCTCTATTATTGACAACCTCAAATGTTTTCATCTACGCCCGGTTGGTAAAGTGTACTTAATGACTAGCTTTTTTTTGGGCGAAATTTGGTATGAAAATTGCCCCCATAGGTATCCCAATCTAGATCAATCCAAATTAAGGTATAATGGTTCAAATGATCCTATCCAAATTTTCAGATCAATAGGCACTCTTAGCGGCCTCTAACCGCGAACACCGGTTTTTCCGAAAATAATCCTCTACAGGCGCTATTTTGCTCAAAAAATACTGTTAATACATTGTTATTTCCTACATAACCGTGATTTTCTGTGGATCTGTGAAACATACAGGTTCGATAAAAAAAGATTTGATTTTCTTTTTTGAATTTTTGGTTACGTAATGAAAATTTCGCAAACCTAAGTATCAGCGCTTTTTGAGTTCTTCTTGAATCTGCTCACAAAATTATGAATGTTTGTCCAAAGGACCCCCGAAAATCGGAGACGTTTTTTTCATGCTTTTGGCGATTTTTCTGGAAAAGATTCATGATTTTTTTATGGACCTGGTAAAACGCAAAAAAGTTCTGATATCCAGTGAACTGTTAAGTTTTCGAAATTTTTAGTACTTGACGAAAAATTCGAAAAGAGAATTGAAAATTTTAAGTCGCACCTGTAGTTTCCACAAATCTGTAAGACCACCACGCTTATGTAGCAAGAGTGTCTTTTCGAAATTCTTTGAGTAAAATTGCGCCCGTGAAAAAATATTTTCGAAAAAATTACGCTTATGACGTTATCGGCCAATAGGGGCGACCTTTCGATCTGAAAATTTGGCTGAGACAACTTGACAGAAAATACCTCAATGCGCACTGATTCAAATTTGAATTCTCTTGGAGATAATTTTCATGTGGTTCCGTCTATAGCCAATTTACGCCCTAGGTATATAAGTAGCTACTATTGCTGCCATTTTAGGCTTTAATCCTACACATATTTGCATAGAATTCCAATCAAACTACAAATATTTAGATTCCTGTTTACTGGCCAAAAAGTTGTATAATAAATAGACATTTAAACATCTATGAAGATGAAAACCACAAGGCAAGTTTACAGCTTCGGGTTTCCCGTTTATTTCTATGTAGCGTACAATAATTTTCCTGGCGCACATTTTGATTGAAATTAGCTTAGTTTCTTAATTAGCGTGCTATACTTGAACATAGTTAACCTAATGCTGTATTTCCGGGTCCAAAAGATTGTCCGAAAACTAGTCACAGCTGTTTCTCTATCTACTATAGTATATGATGTGAAATGTGTCTTTTTCAAAGAGTATATAGCAAATACAAAAATAGCTGTGACAGATTCTCATATATACAGTGCCTCCGATAATTTTTTGGAGTATAGCATGAGGTTGATTACCTTCAGATAGAATACCCTGAATACTCTAACCGCCAAATATATCTCCGTCTCAGGCACTTTATATTTTTTGAATGTGTTCAGTTTAATTTGTTAGCTTCAAGTTTATGAGATAACTAAACGTATTTCACCAAACTATAACAAACGATCTCCTTATATACATAATCATGAAGGTACAGCGAAAATTATAGTGACGTGAATTTGGTTCTACAGTATATTCAGATAAGAGATAGACCGGACATAAACAAGACCACGTGATCATCGAACGCTGTAACATTCGGCAGGGACGTATTAAAAGTCACGCAGTACATATTTTAGATAGTAGATGCTGCTCGGCGTAACTTTGTAGTAAATTAGCACAATTCGATGTGTATACGATTGATGATGGATATAGAATCATGTGGGGGTGAGGTAAGAAATATATAATGATGTAAATATACATAAGAGTTTCAAAATTTTCGCTTCGATTTCCAGCTTCGGATGCCGCCTGATGTTTGGTGAAATACAGTCGAATATAATCTCAAAATGGCGTTTAAATTAGCCTAAATTAAAAATAATCGTATATCTCTTAAAATTGCTTTTAGAATATTGATTAGTATATTTTTTGATTTCTAGGTAAATATGTAACCAAATTAAAACGTTCAAAACGTAAAAAAATGTGCATGGTTGAACATTGTCAGAAAGTAGATTCTTGAATAGGTTTTGCCAAAACGGGTTCAAAAATGTCAATAATTAATTAAAAAATACAGTAGCTTTATAATTACTTATAACTTACCGAATTTGATGAACGATATCTTTTATTGGAAAGATGAGCTTGATGAGCTTTCATCATCGCTACTGCCTGAAGCACCAACGTCAATAATGAATGGCTCGACTTGTTCCTCTAAAATATTGTCCAGTTCCCACATTCTCTTTTCAACTTTGTCTTTCACGTGCTTAATACAGTTTTCCCATTTTTGCGCTGTTATTAATTCTAGTGCTTCTTTGAAAAGTTCTTTGAGGTCACAAAATTTAAAAGTTGTATTGTGCTTAGCTATATAATTTTTAACCTCTGTCCATATGTCCATAATTCTTAATAATTGTACTTTCAGCATTGCTTCTTCAAAGTTGATATTTTTCGAGCGGAGCCAATTTTGAACATCAACTTTCCTTGAAGCCGTTGTTGGGACCTTCTCCATTCTTCGAGAATGATAAGGCGCATTATCCAACACAATTACTGCGTTTTCCTCTAAGTTCGGTAAAATTTTTGAAAACCACTGTTCAAACGATTCGCCATTCATTTCCTCGTGGTAATCTCCAGTTTTCTTAGACTCAAAGCACCACAGACCGTCAACAACAAATCCATCCTCACTGCCAATATGGCAGATAATGAGCCTTTTCCCTTTACCTGGAAATCGAAGTACTAACTGGTGTAGATTTATTTCAATAAGCGAACCTTTTTCAAATGTTTTCATCACATTCAGCGAAAAAACATTGAGACATGAGTATCAGTTTGCTATAATTGGGATTATTTAGTCATATTGAAAGAAAGAATATTGAACGTCGTATGATTACTCAGCGCTTCACAATTTAATTTAAAGTTATAAACCTTTAAAAAATGAATGATCAGGAACCTGAAATACGCGCAAATATTAATATTAACAAATTATAACTTTATAAAGCTTAAAGTATGAATTAAAATGATTAGAAATATTAGGAACGGTACACAATATAAAACTTAGTAACTTTTTTTAAGTTTATAATATTCGACATATTTTAAGATTATATTAAAAAATTATTGAAATATCGAAAACACATAAAAACATGGCTTAAAAAAGTTCTAACAAATGAAAATGACAATAAAACATCCACGCATTTTATCGAAAGTTATAAAAGTTTTGTTACTTGTAATATGTTTTATCTGCCCCCTGGAATTAATGTTTAGAACCTTGTTCCCAAGGTTTGAAAAACATCCGATTGTTGTCTATTACTCGTATTTACCTGCTGGATTTTTTAATCCGGTGGACAGTCCATCTAGAAAGGCCCTCCTGGATGAAGTTACAGAATCATCAACCCATACTTTACTTGTAGTGTGTCCTGCGTTTACCCACGTTTCATCAAGGTAATAAATCTTCCTGTTTTGATTTCTATATTTCGAAATTTTTGTTAAATAATCCCTCCTCCATAGCACAATTTCTTCTCTATCCAGTAGTAAACTATTACGACCCCGTTTTTTTCATTTGAAATTTAAATGCTTCAGTAACGCATGGAAAGTTGATTGTTTGAAATTTGGCAACGTTGTATCTCCATTTACCTCCTGCAGTACTTTATCTATAGTAGGTATTTCATTCCTAAAGAAGAATTCATGCACTTTCCTCCTAATCGCATGGTTATCAGCTTCATCCAATGATTTAACAATACTTTTGCGATGTTTACTGGTCATTGGCTCAGAAAAGGTGTGATTTTTTTTGTATTGTCTTAACACATTAAACACTGATGCGCGACACACCCCAACTTTGTGAGAAACCTTCACAACAATTTCTTTGATGGTTGATGCCTCGTTCTCCTCGCGCTCGATCTTATATATATTCAAAATGACCTCTTTCATTTCTGCACTCAGGTGTCTTTTTTTAGAGCGTTTCCTAGGTGGACTACAGGAGTTTACAACTTCATCGGCAGTATCTGTACTACTGGGCATTTTGCGCAAGCAGTTGATAACAATAACAATCAATAACAAGGTATAACAATAACAACGACAAACTCAACAACTTAATAAGATAACAAACGAAAACGTCCAAAGAAATATCAAATTGCAATGATGCACACGACATACGTAACACGTCTGAACCTGAATGTGACTCTGCCTTGATACGACTGCTCTGCCGCTCGGCATAGGCATTTAATTGCGAATTGACCAATGAGGGCTCCTGTTTTACGTCGAGACGGCGGCGTTAGCGTGAAAATCACCCGAACCTTTTGTTTACATCCGGTCTATCTCTTATCTGAATATACTGTACATCTATCACAAACTGGTTCTTCGGTTAAAATCGGAAGATATGGTTCATTTTACGTTTTGTACGGATTTTGATTTCAATTGAGGCCAAACAATGCTAAGTGAATTTTAACGCACGTTGGATTTACGTCAAGCAGTTACGCAAAATGAATTAAAAAGTACTTTAGTCAAATACGTACATTCTATACATAATGCTTGACATTGCCGTCATGTTTCGAAAATTGATATCAGTTATATACAGTTTTTGAACTAGCGAGGAGAAAATTTACTTTCGGAAATATTTTTTTATAACAAGGTTTCTTGTTCAATGTTTATCACGAATAGATTGTTCTCTTTGTATCCACAAATCGCACAAGAATCTACAGGCTATTTTGAAAATCAAGGTAATGAATATAGGTTCAAAGTTTCATAGTTCTCCCTGAAATAGCACCACCAACTTGGAAGAGCGCGTTCTAATTTCGATAGTATAGAAAATTATGTCGTGTTTATTGTTATTAATATCTTTTTCCTTTTCAGATGGAAACACACTACCTCCCTACATATCTGCCAATAAAACAAGAGCTCCCTGACACGGACCCTGTTGTCCTCGACTTGTGCGTAAGGAAAGAACCCCCTGTCACCCCAATTTACCCCCATGATTACAGAAGTAGATCACCGCCAACTTATGCTGATACTTGTACCAGCCCAAACTCGGTTTCTGGAACCTCGGAGGCTTCAGATTTGTCCAGTTCGGAGAGCAAGGATGTCAACGCTAACGTGTCCAGTTCTGGCATCAAGTGTAGCAGACCCTTCAAGGTAATAAATAATGATTTTATTCATTACTTTCCGTGGCTTTAGATAGTAATTCGGGTTTTTAGCATCAGGTTTTAGAGTGTTTGTAAGTACTTTGCTGTCGTTACGTAAATCATAGAAGCAAGTATCTTGAATATGTTTTTACGAATATCTTCAAAGTTGACAGCTCCTTGATTCAAATCATTTCTACATTTACTGCTAAACAAAAGCAATTTAGCGAGCCATTGATCAACATTCGAATAATGTTTTGTTTTTAGAGACATGCACCAACTGTTCAATGCAATAATTCTTCAAGGAAGCATTCTCATATATACTGTGTTGCCTGGAAAATTAAGAGGTAAAGTCAGTGCGTTAGAATATTAAGAAACTATTTCGAAAATGCTTCATTTCCGTAGTACCATACGAGGTTCTTATGCATTTGATGGATCATCAGACAATTTAATTCAATTCGATCGACTTTTTTGTAACAAATACATACAATACAGTAGCAAATGGCGAAGTCCTGCCAATGACCATTTATACTCAATCATACACTCCTTGAAAACAGATTAGGACCTTAAGATGGGAATGAGTATATGTAAATGTATCATTGATGAATAATTAACAGCTACATAAGTGTTTTCTAAATCACTTATGTCAATGGCGTCCGTTTAACGACAACCGATACTCCTATTTTCTGCAAAAATATTGTCAGTACCTTACAACCAGAAGCACTGTTTTTAGAAATAACATTACAGTACCTCAATATTTCTAGCATTATTAAAAAAAACGGTAATCTAGATGGCACTTTGTTAACAAATAACGAAGAATTCCAAGAGACACTTTTTGAGCAGAATCATCATGGCCTTGAGACAACGATGTCTTGTAAAAGCCAGTGACGTACGACTTTTTTGCTAAGCATAACAGTATAAACAAAACGTGAAATTTTCGGACTAATGTTAGTATGAACTACTTTTGTGCTGACTCTAATCTTATTCTTTTCTGATAACATTCTGTAACTGCATTTGAAACGACAGTAAATACAACTTCAATATGCGTTTAATTAAGTGTGTACCATAAATTTTACAGACGATTCTTTGAGTTATTAAGACAAAAAGTTCATATATGTATATATATATATATAGGCTTATTTTTTTCAAATATTTTATCGTAAATTGAATATCCTTAACTCCTCAATGCTATAAGTAGCAATAGCACGATATTTACGAAAAAAACATTTTTTTAATTTTAACACCCTGTATCTTGAGAACGAAGAATTTTTTGTCTTACAATTACTCAAAGTGTTGTCTGTCAAATATATTCTAAATACTTAATTAACACCCTGTATAGTACCTATATACATAGGTATACTTTTCGTGTCATATTATAGCATATTTTTGGTCCCAAAATGTTATCACCGATTTCAAAACACCCTGCATAAAGATACATATCGAATGTAACAGGTAAAATATTTTAAAAAAGGTAAGGTCTTGACTGGCTTTGAGGTCAACCTTTTGCAAGTATACATGTAGCCCACTTTAACGTCAACTCTAAAAATGGAATTTTTTTCCTTGGGTTTGACTTTGGATTTGACCTTGAACCGCACATTTGAGATATAGTACATGAGAACTTACTAGAACGTGAAATTTCCCATTGCGGGTGTCATTAAAAAAACTTGACCTTGTAATGATTTTGAAGGTTATCTTGAAGCTTGAACCCAAGGTCGTCATTGGAAACCTTGTTAAAATATACTAAGGTCCTAATATCTTGCTAAACTTTCCCTAAACTCACACAGCTAACCTTCGTTTGACCCTTTTGGGGGTGACCTTGATCTGAGACTTTAATGCATATTCCAACACAGAATTTTCAATTATTTCGACTTCCGGCGTCAAAAAGTGGGCTTTCTGTTGTAAAAATGAAAGTGGACCTTGAAATAACCTTGAAGATAAGAATCGATGCCAAATCCAAGGTCACGAGTGCACTCCTTGTTCAAACTCGGTATTGACCTCTTTAAAAAATATTTTCCCTGAAGGAATTCTGTTATTTTTGCTACTCCTGGTATATTTTCTTTAATGGTATTCATTAGTTCAACCTTTTTTTTTTCACGATTTTAAAATTAAGTAAAAATTATGAATCTCCCATATAAAATCCTGTTCTACTCAACCATGAATTGTTCGTAAACACAATCCGATGATTTCTTGGCGATCAAACTAACTCAAACTTTTCATTTTCAGGCATTCCCCAAGGACCTATCGCCCATCACGCTGTTAAGCACATTTCCCACCAGCATTCTGGGTAAGGACTCTGCAGAAGCGTACGCAGAATTCCGCCAGAAGATGCTCAGTCAAGTCCAATCCCCTCACAATGGTACAAACAAAAACATGAGGAGGAGTCAATTGACCAATTCCCATGTCAGCGACCCCACGTACTGGGAGAAGAGGAGGAAAAACAACGAAGCTGCAAAGCGGTCCAGGGATGCCAGGAGAGCGAAAGAGGATGAAATTGCTATACGGTGTGCGTTTTTAGAACAGGAAAATATGCAACTTAAGTTAAGGTTAGCATCTCTAGAAGCGGAAATGGAAAGGTTTCAGAGGCAGTTTTATCATTAGGCTTTTTAAAAGACAGTGCACTGGTGCACACTTTGTTAGGGAGACGTTGATTTCGACAGGTTGATAGGTAAATATTGAAGTTAACGACTTTAGGGACTAAAAATGGGAGGTTGCCTTTAGAGTTTTCCAAGGTTTCGTGCGCTGTTAAGTACAATGTCTCATAACATATTATCTACCCCGATAGCTAGACCAGATGAAATCATTTGTCCACCAGTGAGTATAAATCAGATTTTCGCAACAGTAATTTTTTTAAAATACATATTTTGAAAAAAGATCTTTAAAAAACTTCACAGCTTTCAGCCGGAAAAATAAAATTCCAAAAAATGCAGTAATGTACAAATTTCGAACACTTCTTTGTCAGACTTTGATAGAGATTTTTGTAATGTTTCTCACAATCAGTTGATGATTATACACCCTTGAAGGCAAGAATGGTGATTACGTTAGAATACTTCGATTAAGTTTTACGCAAACTCTTACGTCAATAAAGTCTGTTTGTCATCCTGTGGTTGAAAGAGTTTTTCTTCTCTCTCTAAAAGTCGAACCATTTTTCGGCTATAAGAAAGAACCTAATTGTTATTAGAACTAACTTTTATTGATTATCATACGTACAAAATGACGTTATTTCTGCATATCTGGGGTTTATTTTTAATTCTAATCCATCGATGTTTTTTCTGAAATTATAAAAAAAACTGTCTCCTTTTTTCGCGAGCGACATCTCGGTCCTTGTTTTGGACCAGCCATGAAGCAGATCCCGAAAAAAAAAACTTCACGGAAGCATTTGTCAACATTTTTGCTTACTCAAACGGGCTAAGTTGCTTACTTGGTACACGGTTGCTTACTTGGTAATTTGTCGTCGAAATGGAATTAAACGTATTGGCGGAACCAATCATTTTTCCAGACAAACTTTGATTCATGCTGAATTTGAGTCATGGATTTATTGGGGTAGATAAAATGTTATGGAATCCGCACCGGTATTACGTAGCTTAAAAGTGACATTCTATCAATTTTTAATAGTAATGGTCTCGATCATCACAACAAAGCGCTACAGTAATGACTTTATTTTACCATCAAATTTTTATTTTCACGTAAGTTATATTTTCGTTCTTTCTTTCCATTTTCCTCTGATTGTTCATCAATTTAGAAATTTTCTGTCATAATTTTCTATATTAGTCTTACTTTAACAAGGCCTCTACACCGTTTTCAAACTGGAAGAACACCTCAAGCAACTCTATCTTCGAATCTCGGAGATATATATATATATACAGAGTGTTAATAAAGTATGTAGGCAAACTTTAACCGTCGAATCCTTGGTCAATTTGAAGACTAAATATTCATATGAACAAGGGTCCGTAACGGCTTTCTTTTCGAGCTACAGCACTATCACTAAAGAAATACGAGTAATGTTCCAACTATTTCTATGAATATTGAAACGTATTTATTGGACAAATGGTATAACCTATGATAGATTGTGCATATTTCACTAGTTGCTGAGGCTCAATATAAACGTGGATAAAAATAGTATTAACCTGTATCTTTGGAAAAAAAATTATTTATTTATTTGAACAGTAACATTCGAATAGGACGACAACAATAGAAAATATCGAATAGTTTTTTTGACAATAAATTTTCAAAGATTTATTTGAGGAAATAAATTAATTCTGTTGTTTTTGGGTACGTCATAGGTGTCTAGATAAGCACAATGCTTAAATATTGAAAGCGTTGCTATCAAAACAAATCAGTCATGCTATTTTTCGAAAAATACTGGATAACATTATCCATATGTAACAACTGTAAATCATGTGATATTCACCACAGGGCATACTTAATTAAAATAAAATACCTACGTTCCACTCTGTTGTAATTTGTCAGAAGAATATCATCATTTCTTTTAGTGCTAATATGCTCGAACTTGAAAATAAAGCCGTTGCGGACCCGTGTTCATATGGAAATTGAGCAAGGATTCGATAGTTAAAATTTGCCTAAATACTTTATTAACACCCTATTGGAGTGGCGCCTGCCATATCCAGGAAGTTAACGTGGTCAAAACGCGTTTCCACCATAAACACCTGCATAGGCAGCGGTGGCCGCAGTGGTAGACTGAGACTCTTTGGTCTCCTGATCAGAAGCCGTGCGCTGCGCGAGTTCGAATCCTGTCCCAAGAGAAATTTTTCTCTTGGCTATGGATGTTGTGATGTGCGTAGGTGGTAGACGGTCTCTGACTGTCGAACGCGGAGGTACCACCCGGCCAGAATGTGTTCATGTTGCATGCAGACGTGTTCCCTCGCCGAATCCGTGTGGCGTCCCCCCTTTCCCTTATAGCCCCACGGTACCCCAAGGGTGTTTAGGCCTTAGGCCTTCGTGGAGTATAAAAAAAATCCACTCAGGCAGGTGTGGTCATCAGAGTGTCTGCTAAGAACAAAGTCGCTGCGACAAATATGATTGTGGTCCCATTAACAACTCGACACTCAGTTCCACGTATATACCTTCCAAGATATCAGAGAGGGCGTGGACTGGTGAGTTTGGAGCGTCTGCTGGCGATATCACCTGTGATATGCATTGTGCATGAGCAGCAAATTACTGGTAAAGGAGCTCATCTTTTTAGAGCACCTAAAGGAGCAGCCGAGCAACTCAGTCTCGTACTTGACTTCCAGCTGGAATGCGTGCAGTCCAGTATAGAGCTGGCTCCTTCTCAACTGAAGATCCTCTTAAAATTCGCTGAAGCAAATTAAGGCTTCATAGAGACAAGCCTATGCATGGAATCTTCTATAGGTACGTAGAGTAGCATGGTTTGTCTAAGCAGTTGACCTCCTCATTTCTAAGGTCTAGTGGGTTAAGGTCTGAGGCTGAGGGTGCTGTACCACCATTTGAGGCACTCCTGCAGTAGATGAAGTACTTGTGCTGCCCAATGCTCCAGGGGATTTTATGTCCGATGTGGAGAACGGCAGATAGCGGAATCACTCCTTCCACATGGCCGAGCTGGTGCAGGCAGATAAGTCATCTTCGATCACGATCAAAATTTTCGTCACCATTTGAAGTAAACATCGTTTCGAAGGAGGAGGAAAAACAGGCCAAGTGTTAGGAGCCTCTCAATCGGCTTTGACCAGACCGCAACCTGCTAGTCTGCTAGTTATGGTTATTGGATCCTTGGGTGGGATGCTTTCTGCAATAAAATTGATATGTCGAGCATCAGCAAGCATCTTAGCTCGAAGAAAGCAGAAAGCGGTCATCCTCGGTTCCCTCCATCTACTTAGAGCACACGATTTGCGAACCAACTAGTTGCTTATCTCACGTTGTGAGTAGTGGCTAGTTGGCAATGAACGACAGCTTGGTGTGTCGGAGTCCAGGTCGCCTATTTTTCTTCTCTCATAATAAAGCAAGCACCAAACATTGAAGTCCATGAAATAATATTTGATATATCACTTATACCCTATTTTACGAGTATTCATCACGCTTTGATGTCTATTGAGGTGAACAGCTGATCAGCAAGCTATAATCAATCGGGTGTAAATCTAGCACACATTTGTCTGACGCGTTTCGAACTCTTTTCTAAATAAAAGAGATTTTAGCAAGTACAAAATGAATCTGTAGCATGTAAAAAAAACAAAACAGAATATTGCTCTGTCTACATGGCATCGACGGTATCATGTAAAAAAACCATAAAACGTCAAAAAAACCTGTAAGATGTTATCTTGCAAACTAGGTAGTTCCATGTTTGCTCACTTCCTAGTGAGCGTCCATCTAAGGAGGAATCGCTCGACTAAACTACACGCATTATTGGTTGCATATGTTTTGTGAGGCCAAATGGTCCTTGTCTGTCTCAGAACCAAAGATTGATAACAAGCCTCATGACGTTTAGGCAACACGTACAACTAAGTGCTAAGCTAACATCTTGTAGAAAAACCTACATAATGTCAAACAAAAACAGCATAATCGGCATAATGTCACTTTTCAAGATACGTGATACACGGGCAGAATGTGATGGGAAAATGGCGACCGCTCCATTAGCGCTCAGACTGATCATGAGCGTTCAGCAGAAAATATTGCTACAGTAGCTCTAAGTTATGGTGATCGGAACCAATGACGTTGTATTGATTTTGTACGTAATACTCCTGTTGGACCTATATAAGGTCTCAATTTAATTAGTGCATTTGGTCTCTATACAGGAAATTTATTTCTATGTATTTCTATCGATGTTTAAGCTCACAACCTTTGAAAAGTAAATTGTCAGGTAAATATTCTCGTTCATGGGAATGGAGCGCTGGGTAGGCAGATGCATCAAATGCTGGTTATCACTCCATCAGCAGCCATTCTAGTCACGCTACATTCTGATAAACGTGAATATGGCGATCATTTATTACCTGGCAATAATTTTTGATAATTGCTTCAACAATCTACCTCTGCACCACTGTAAGGTGTCAAAAATGTGTGTTTGTGATTCATATCTTGTCATTAGCGTGTAAGTTCTCTATTAGCTCGTGTAAGGTTTGTACATATATGTAAATATTGTGTAAATAAAAGTGAATGGTTGTAAGATCAGTAAAATGATCTACATTTTAGATTGAGTGTAATAAGGATCCACCAAGATTGTGTTCATTTTGTCTAGATGTATCCTGTTTTGTGTGACTATTTAAGACGTATTCTAAATAATTTTATCTTAGGATATACATAATGTATATTAACTTTATGGAGGGAAATAGACTGACGCTTAGATATTATTGAATTGTTAATAAATTCTCGTACAAATGTATAGATACTAAAATATTATATTTTGATACCCATTTTTTATAATTATTGTATAGTAAATTATATATCTCAAATACGATAATAATAATGAATATTTATGTATGTGCGTTGTTTCCAAATCCATACATTCCTGCTTAGCAGACCACCTAGTCAAGCTCCAGAAAAATCTCGGGGATCAGATAATCAATTTTCTGTAACTCGATATTGTTACCTGATTTATAAAATACGCTTTTGAGCCTTTTGTATATTAAAGTTGTAATAAAGAGGCGAATAGTATTGGAAGGATATCCTAACTCATGACCACACGTAAAATGTTTGCCTGCCCAAACAACGCTTCTTATCACTTAGGTCAATCTGAATGGCTAATATGTATTTCCAAACATCTGCGATGCTCAGAAATTCCATGCTGGAATTGGAATAAATTCTTGATCTAAAAAAAGAACGCCCTATCTGTACTCTGCTACCATGCCGTTTCACTTTCGCTTCGAAAAATGATTGGTTAACAAATAAATTTGAAGAGTATTTGCGCAAAGTTTTCATTTTTGAATTAAATTCATGTTTTAATTTCTATTGTTGATTTTTTATTCATGTTTATATTATTTTCTTCAATTGATATGTGATACTGGGTGTTTTTTCCTATAAACCTCATGCAGATAGCCATTAAGCACCTCACCTGATGACAGGCTCTACCAAAAGATATTGCTCGTTTCCAAACATTCATTCATTTACTTGCCGTTCATCAGAACCATTATGGCACCTTAGATTGACATTCTCACAAAACCATTCAGGTTTTTTGATATCCATACATCCATAAAGTTGAATATTTTGCGTTGTTCAGGAACTGAACAAACATCCATACTATATTCACAGCGATTAATAAATTCCCAAATATACGGCTTAGAGCTACCATCAAACCTAAAACCTGCAAAAAAACTACAAATTTGCCATATTTTTCTTTTTTCACGAGTACACCTTCTAGGTTATATTTATATTAGACATTGTTTGAGTACAGCTGATTATTGCTTTTCAAGGAGTGACACATGTGTGGGATCTGTCAACTCTTGGTATCTGTCACAAAACATTTTATACTCTGAAGGTTTAATTCCATGCTATTCAACGACAACACGGTGACTTGTGTGGTTATCAGCGGCCATTTTGTGAGGGTGCGACAGGGTTGCCAGATTGTGCATTAATATCCCGTTTCACCCTCCTGGTCCCAGTGGAGTAAGTTCCGCCAACTGTTGAAATATACTCAACTATGCTTTATAAGACTATTCGTGACATTTTTCCCAAAATCATTGCACAACACTTGAAAAAATGCAAATGAAAGTTTAAAATTATTTCCTTGACGCCGCAATATTATAGCTCCGTCGGTAGCTTGGGTTACACATCTTGACAGTAGGGATGTTTGATACGATCCTACATTTAGAAGAATCAATACATTTCACGAGTATCGTCATCTTTCGATCCGGACTGTGTCAGAAAGGGTGACTGCCATTTGGCTGCGACATTACCCTGCCAAGTCAGACATATCTTTCATCATTTTCAAAGAAATTGTACAAAATTTTCAAATTTGTGAAGTTAGCGAATTTCACTTCATACGTTGTTACCAGATATGCCCAAATCATCAGTTGCTGCCGTGATATTCATCCCGACCACTATATCCCCACGGCTAGGCGACCTGTATGTTAAATTTGTATTGATAGGGCAGCGGGTTATCCTATAAATCATATGCCACAGTGTTTGTGCACTGATTGCAACGGTTAGATGATACCAAAAATATTTTCATAAATAGGAGATCTTTCCCATTCCGGATCGAACAATCTACCAAAGATGCTTATAATCATGATACCTAGTAAATTTTCACGAAAAAAATTCAAAACCAGTAAATTTAAAAGATTCATTTCGCACCCTACACCACGGGACGTGATGGTCGTTAGACTTGGCAACCCTGCGGGTGTCAGATAGATATCCCCGCCGGTCAAAAAAGAAAGATAGACAAACAATAAACATTACTATTTTTTTTTGATTTTTTTACTAAAAAGCCACTATCTGTGAAATATTTTTCATAATTTTTTGTCTATGTCCATAGTAATTGCATTATGCATGAGGGAGATGTAGGGATTGACACGTCTTACACCTATTATCTGTGTTTTAGGATGGAGAGTACATAATGTTTTTATTACTTTGAAGAAATTCATTATCCCATAAATTAATAAATGATTACTATTATGACGTAAAGGAAGATGAGGAATTGGATGGAATGTATACTAAGTGACATATAAATCCGAACACCCAGTTTAAATGGTTTTATTTTAATAAAATTTTGTATAAGTACTTAATGAAGCATAATAAGTAAATGATAAAAATTTCCAAATGGTTGCACTGCTTTAAAGTCCTTTGACCTTTAATAATGTGTGGATGCACCCTGATGTGCTACGCATTCTCCAACGCGCCTAGGCATGCTTCTGATCAGGTGGTCAATGGCCTCCTGTGGTATCTCATTGCAGGCAACCACCTCTGAGGAGGACGTTGCTACTTGAGCAACCTCCTACCCATCATATCCCACGCGTGCTCAATTGGGGATAAGTCGGGAGATCTTGGTGGCCATGGTAACAACGTGACATCATTATGTTGAAAGAAGTCTATTGTGACTCTTGCAACATGTGGTCGGGCATTATCTTGTTGGAAAGTTGGATCTGCCAGGGTGTCAAGACAGGGTAAAAGATGGGGTTCTAGAACTTCGTGGATATAACGCTGCACGTTCGTGTTACCTCTGATGAAGATTAAAGGTGACCTGGAACCATAAGCTATAGCACCCCAAACCATAACTCCAACAGTGTGATGAACATGTCTTTCAACAAAAAACTGTGGACTCCTCCTTTCACCACGTCGCCTTCTAACCCTGGCACGACCATCGTGCATGCCTAAACAAAATCGAGACTCGTCACTAAAGACAATACTGTTCCATTCCTGATCCCAGAGTGACCGTTGTCTACACCACTCAAGGCGATTACGACGGTGTTCTCGAGTTAAAGGGAGGACCCAGTGTGGCCGGTATGAAAACGAGCCAAAACTTCTCATTCGTCGGTAAACACTTCGCATGCCAATAGGTCTTCCCTGTTCTGCAAACCATTCATTTGCAATGGACCTGGTAGTGGAGAAACGGTCCCTTAAGGCTAATAATCTTAGGCGGCGATCTTTACGGTCTGTTGTTCTACGGCGGCGTCCAGTGCCCCTTGCTCTTTGCGTACGGCCTTCTCGAAGCCATGCCTGACAACACCTAACCACAGTGTCTACACTTCTTTGCACTCTAACTGCAATTGCCCGAAAAGAAAGTCCAGCTTCCCGAAGTCCCACTATACGGCCCCTATCAAACTCACTAAGTTGGCGAAATCGTACAGGTCTCCGTACTCTAGGCGTCGTAACCGATCGTAAAGGATGTCAAGAACCAAAATCCGCCAACGTTGATTCTTTACTGCGGCTGAAATATTCATTTTTAGAGCGTTAGTGAACTAAAAAAAAAACAGTATAAAAACCGGAATGTCCAACTGATAAGGCTGAACATTTTTTCACTTGTTATTTACAGTAAGATAAATACATTCACCAACTTTTATTAAAATAAAATCATTTAAACTGGGTGTTCGGATTTATATGTCACTTAGTATATTTTATATTCTATTTTCTTGCAAAATACAGTCAAATCCACACTATTCATCAGGTATGTAATGATATCTTTCAGTATATTGAATTTGGTAAATTCGGGAGTGCCATGCATTAACAAACGTCCAAATCTACTGCCAAATTTAACAGCTAGAAAATCGACCTATTATTTGCCGCATTCCCATTCGCTGAGGGGGATAACGGATTGTTAAATGTAAACCTATAACATATATCAAAATACACGAAAGTTGTCCTGTTTTTTCTGTACAAAAGCATCATGTTGGAATCAAAAAGTGGTCTTGTTTATAATACAGTCGAATTTTCACGATTTTATTCAATATTTCAGTAGAAATCACTAATATTCAGAGACCTTTGACAGCTTCCGTCATATTGCATTTCGATAAGGTATTTTCCCATTGGTCCATAATATTAATGTTGGTGAAATTGGCCATAAACCCTTCTAATCCTACGTGTGATTTTACAATATCGGAATATCGGATAAAGGTTGCGCGATTGCCTAACCAAATCAGAACAAAGTTTTTGATATTGTACTTTATTCCTCGAACTTTTTGTATGTTGAAACGTTTCTTCTACAGGTTGTATTGTCACAGAATTGATCGAAGCGGTTCATCATTTTCATATAGAGATGTTATGAAACAGAAACGTAGCTAATATTCGCATTCACATACTCAAATGTTTACATGTTTCTTTTTATTCGCATTATTGCCAACGTTTTGCAGATGAGAGTATCAGAAAAAGAGGATATAAAAACAAAACTCGGTACTAACAGGAAACAAAAAATATCGTTATATCAACTTTTTTTTAATAGAAAAGCATTCTGTAATAGACTAACAAGAACTTTATCCTCCAGATAAACTTTTTTCCTTTTCATAAAATCAGATATTTCTTATTAGAAAACATAATTATGAAAACACTTTCAACAAACTAATATACATATTCTTTTTTACTTTTATCGGTATTTGATTATAAATATTTCACAGATAAGAAGAACAACAATTATTTTTCCAAATTTCTTATAAAAAAGATAGATTCTCAAACGAACTGAAGAGATTACCGTATTTCCTGCTTTGTTTTTTCTCAAAAAAATTAATCAAGTCGAACTATAAGAATGACTAGCTTTAAAGATAAAGGCTTCTGATGCCCTTATCCTTAAAGTTGGCGTGTTTCAGTGTGGTGTACAAAGTATTTGCATCCTAATTCTCATTCAAGAATGCCTGAAAATCGTTTGCTACATCACTATTATGAAGTTGGGGTATAAGGATTAACGCAGGCTTT